AAAGCGATCGATATGCAGCATGCATTTCTTGATATCGCGTCACGCGAAGCGATAAGAATAGACATGATTTGCTTTGGTTAGATAAGCTAATAGTATCATAAGTTTTGTCAATTGAAAACACGAACACGTGCAAATTGATTATCAAATTATTACGAAAAAAATACTAAATTTACTATCGTAATAATTAATGTTACATCTATTTTAATTATAATATTATACAATTTTTGAGTACAGTTTGTAATCAGAATTTGTTTTTTGTGATATATTTATCAAAGTATCTTTTTTTTATCAAATAAATTCCAGAAAAAGAGTTTTATTACTTTTAATTTTCCTTCTAACATCCCTCTAAAATTGCTGAACTTTTCAGTTGTAAGTTTGTATATAAAAAATTATCACCTCTTTTAATTCTCGCTTAAAAATAATTTTTCTTTTAAATTATAAGTAAGTGTAATACATTTTGCGTGTTATTTTTGATAAATATTTGTTTTTTTTGGGTAAGAAAACTCATTATTCGTCCACCTTCTCTTCCGCGATGAAATTTCTTCCATTAACAGCCAATCATACGAATCGGCACGTGTGCGAGAAATACGTTAACATCCCGACATCTCGACGATCGGGCTCACTTGACCAAACGAGCCGTCGTCGTGAGAATCAGTCAGTCTCTCGTGGCCACTCGAACTGGTCTAAAAAAGAAGGACACAGTGTCCGTCCACCAGAGCTATGTCGAGCTTTCGGAAACATCCCTCGGTTGAGCGGTTAATCTCCGATTCCCTTTACTGACCCTGTCGCGATTTCAACCGGGTGTTTTTCCACCCTCGTCGCTCTCTTCTTCATCTACTCCTCGCGCGCGCGCGCGCGCGCGTGAGAAAAGCGAGAAATCGCCGCTACGACGAATCTGCGTGCGGTGCGAAATGCTCAGCTGCTATGACGGTGACGAGGAGGAGAACGACGACGACGACGATGGTGGTGGTGGTCATCATCGCGCGCAGCCGATCGATGGCCCAGTGCCGCTTCGCGCGCGCACCCCACGTTCATCCCCTTCCACTCCCACTCTAACGATCTGCCTTCACCCTGCGTCTTGCACCTCGGTAGCTAGCGAGCCCTCCTTCCCTCGTTCTTCATCCCCTATGTTTGCTCCTCTTCTACTCCATCTTGCGTCCTATGCATTTCTTCATGCCTATATCCTCCACTATTGGAACCTCTTCTTGATATTGCGTCTTTTACCGTCCGAGAGGAATTTCTGATCGCGTCTTCCGTTTGACGTATTTTAACTGCCCTTTGCTCTCGATATCGTTGCATATCTGATAATGAGGTTTTTATTCTGATTTGAAATATGTTGCGTGTCTTAGGAATGTTTTTCTTTATGATATCTCCGTGTCTCTGTATCGGTGTTAGTTATAAAGGAATATATTTTTTCCCTCTAGCTTGTCCCTCGTTTCATCTTGTGATCTCTCCATGTCGCTCGGAATCGCAAGTGCTTCTTTTAACATTTAAAGAGGCTCGTTCTTGGCTCGGAAGTCGTACTTAAGGGCCAAGAGCCGTTCTTTGACTTCTCGCAACAAATAAAGGTAGACGTTTTCCACGGTGTATATGAGCATTCCTCTTTCTCATTTCATTTTGTACATGTTTTCTGATTCCTTCTCTGATTCACGGAACGAGCTCGTATAAAATCGTTAAAGAACTGCTGTTCACCTCAATTTTTCCATCTAGAAATAAAGGTAGCCCCTTCCTCCATCTCTACATCAATTTCATTTTTTCTCCGATAATATTTTACATTATTATTTGCTACTCCAGTATTTTCTCCCTCTCTCCTCTCGTCTTCATTCAATATTCCTTCCCTTCTTCTTCATCATAAACTTCCCACAGCTTCTCCATCTTTCATATTTTTCTCCTCCTCTCTCTTCCTCCCATCCTCTCTACGCAATAAATGTCTGTCACGTAATGCTCGCCATCGCCATCATCGTTGATCTAATCGTAGCTCGTGATAGAGTGCTTTTTAGACCGGCTCTTTGCAAACTTAATAATATAAAGCGCCGTCTCTCCTCCGCGACCACCGTTTGACCGCCGTAGATCTTTTCCCTCTGCTCGTCTTCTCCTCATGATTGCACCGGTTGGTTATTCCTGGTGGCTCCCTCTCGTTTTCCTAATCCTTTCACCCTTCTACCCTTCCTCCCTCTCTCTCTCTCCTTCTCATTGCAACATCTCTATGTTTCGCTTCAGCTTTGTTCTTCTTCATTTTTTTGTTATTTTTTTAATCGTTTATTCTCCCTCTCATTACTCCGTTATTTCACCCTTTTACTTAGAAAATCTCCATCCCTTTCTTTTCTTTCCTCTTCTTCCTCTCGTTCTCCCTCGCTAATTTCGACGTTTGCTTACCTCTCTATTTCTCCAACCCTCTCTCTTTCCTTCGACTTTTCCACCCCTTACCGACATCATTCCCCTACTTCCACCCTTTCTCCCTACCACAGTAGAACGGCAGTCGACAGAGCGGCCGCAGTTCGAACACGCCAGCTTGCGGATCACGAAGGATCTGTCCGTCCGCCGCTTCCACCCTCGCAGACGATTCCTCTTCTCGTTCCTTTGAGCGCCTCTCTCTTCTCTTCTTCTTCTCTTCTTCTTCTTCTTCTTTCTCTCTCTTTCTCTTTCTTTCTCTAATTTTCCATTTTCTCGTTTTCCTTTTCTCTCTCTCACTCTCTCTCTCTCTTTTCTCTCATCTGTCTTTCTCCTTCGGTTGTTCGCGAGCCAGTTTATTCCGCGCGACGTTTGCCATCGAGCACCGCTCGATCTAGTCTCCAAGTGGATACGGCGCATCGCTGATCAGACGGACGGACCATACCGTCGTGCTCGCCCTTCGACACAATCAGCACGTCGTAGCGGAATGGCTCTTCGACAGATCAGGAAGTTGCGGCCACGTACCGGTTGATAGGAGGTTAGTCTACATGCATATCTAAATATTCGTTTTTTTTAGCGAGGTGACCTCGAGGGTGAGTTTTGGTGCTGAAAATAAAAACGTAGCTCTTGTGCTCCAAAATCCATTGACAGCTACGGGCAGCACACGCATACACGACACACCCAAAGCCACGAAACGTGCACCTTCGAGCGTGTCTAGGGCAACGGCGAGCCTTGCTTCGGAAGCCGCGCGTTCGACGCTGCTAGATCAATAACATGCCGCGAGGAAAACTCGTTCGCGCGGAAGCTTCTCGGTCGGCCAGGAGTTCGCGTCGCGCCGCGACGCGTCTCGTTTGCGTCTCCAGAGCTGCGGGCTCGAGTGCGGAATAATTCGTCGTCGCATCGAAACGTCGTGTCAGTGACGTGCGTAAAGGTGTCGGATCGTCGTCGTGTCGTGGTGATGATAATCTTTGGTAATTTACAATTCCGCGTTAATTAAGAAGATAGTTATTCGTTTGTACGACAATTAATCGCTAATGAACATATATAATAGTGGATAAATTATTAATTAATTCTTATTACTTGATAGCAATTCTCAATTGATGATTTGCTAACTCTATGCTAATTAAAGATAATTTTCGGAGAGGAAATAGAGGGCGGGGGACATAAATGTTAATAATCTAATTAATTTACGCCAATTTGTGTTAGATACGAATTTGTGACTTTCCTAGCTGGTTTGTTAATTCATTAATGATTTATTAATAAATGAACTGTTGGTTTTTCTGAAGCTTCAGTGAGCCAACTACGAGGCGAACTGGATGAGGAAGTCGTATTCCGCGTTGGCGAGCTAGGAAGGACGCACGTAGCGGTGGTGTGTCATAGTAAATCGAGGCGGCTATCGATTTTTTTACGTATGTGCCTCGTCGGCTTGAATGTCGAGGATGAACGGAAACGTTGCGGTAGATATCGGCATCCCATGAACGCAAAGCCGAACGAATAACGAGATTATGTTCCATTGTAAAATAAAAAAGAAATGCGTGTCTATGACAGATAATGTAGTAGTGCATCAAATAAGTTACACATGCACAATCGCAATTTAATTGAAAGTTTAATAACGTGTTTTAACTAGTGTGCCAAAATTAACTAACATGCCAAAAAAAAAAAAATAACATATTACACATTTGAATTTTTACACAAATAAACTGCATCTTTTTAATGGACATTTTTATTCCCAAATTAAATACAGATGCAGGCATTTTGGAAAAATTAATTTTATTGTAAGGTAATCTTCTCCAATCATTTTTCAGTTATTTTGAGTATTTATTAAACAATGTTTTCGACAATCACAATCTTATGATTTTTATGGCTGTTGTGAAATATTCTAATTTGTTAAAAAAATTAATTTTTAATATTTAATATATACCTGAAATTTTTGTTATAAATAATATGTAATGTAAAAATAAGATTTTTTTTCACAAAGACTAAAAACATTAAAATAGACTTTACATTTTTAAAATATTATGTTTTCAATTTGTTTTACGAAAAATTGTCTATTGAATATATTAAATAACTATAAATGACTAAAGTTTAAACTAATAATAAAATAATTTGGTTAAATCAATTTCAGAATCAACAACGGTCCTTCGCGTGTTTATTCACGAACGCCAACAACCGCGGCACGTTGATAACATGTCGTCGTCGGTCTTCAGCAGGTATTTCACCTTGGAACAGTAAGTGTCCACCCACTGCAACGTCGAGATGGTCTTGAGCGTGAGATTCGAGTACGAATCGAGGAAGCGGCCACGTATCACGTCGTTGTACATGTTCTGCTCTCTCCGGAGGATCGCCTCGACCTTAGGATCCAGAGTAGTGCCGAGTATGAAGAGCACGCTCATGTCTCTGCGCTGGCCGAAGTGTCCCCAGGTCTGTCGGATCGCCGTTCGCGCTTCGAGATGCGTCGGCGCGGACATGATGATCACCACCAATTCCATGTCCTTGCCGAGGTTCGGGCAACGCTCGGCGATCGGTACCGTGTGCCCGGCCTCGTATATGGCCCGTGCCGAATCATTACGAATCACGATCGGCGCTGACTTGGTCGCGTTGGTGACTTTCGCCACCTGAGGCTTCTCGTTCGTACTTTGCTTCGAGCTGATCGACGTGCTCGCGGAAGACGACGCGGAGGATTGCGCGCCGGAGGACGTTGACAGCGTCGTGATGAGGATCCCGGAGTTGTTACTCGCGTTGTGCGCTGCATACGGACTAACGGACACGTTGTCCGAATTCCTGGACACCGCTGCTGCTGCCAGCCGCGCATCCACACTGAGATTTGTATGCACGTGCAGGCCTTCTTGGTACACAGAGAAACCTGGAATTTTAGCGGTCATTGATTTTTGATTTTTCAAGTTGCATTGAAAATATACAGTGTTAAAATAAGGGTTACATATTTTGAGAGCAGATAGTATTGTTCAGAATAAAAAAAAGGTCTAATGAACATAGATCCTACAATTAATATCTTTGAAGATACAGGCTATTTCATCTGTTTGAGCTTATGGTCCTTTTCCTATTGATCATATCATCTTTACATCATGTTATTATAAAATGTTACTATAGTAAAACTTGTAAGTACTCTTTTGTTTACTACAATATAAAGGTGATACAATCAATAAAATAATAAGCTCAAATAAAAAGGTAGCTTGCATCTTTGAAGATATTAATCGTAGCACCCATGTTCATTAGACCTTTTTTCTGATCAATACTTCCTGCTCTCAAAATATACAACCCTTTTTTAACACCTTGTATTTAAAGATCCTGATTAATTTTTGGAGTGTTGTAAATATTACAGTTGTCTTTGATAGAAAATAAAAAATGTAATAATAAGAAATGAAAATAAGAATTATTTCTAAACAATCCACGCAAACTTGTACAAATAATAATTGTTTGAAGATACAGAATTTTATCTGGAGCTAATTTCCTTTAGGTTCAATTATTCATCAGAAGTCTCTCACAGCAATATTAAGAGATCAATTCTCTCATTGCAAACAAAATACTCACTGGTATTCCGTGACAAGCTGTACTGATGAACATCGTAGACCGTGGTGCGATAATACGCGTAGAAGGTCAGGCCGATGAGCGCGAGGATCAGGGTCTGCAGAAAACGACTCCTGAGATGCAGATAGTGGAACATGACGGACACTTGTTCTGATCACTCTCTTCTTTCTCTCTCTCGACGCGATCTCGTCGACGGGGACGATCATATCATCGCGATGACGTACCGCGCGGAGGGCGACCTGACGGACGTAGTCGCTCCGTCCTGGGCTCCACCGCGATGGATCGGAGCGCTGCGACGTGCCGTCGTCCGACAGGTTATGCCCATACTGTGTGTGCATGGGGCCCCACCGCACCGTTCCGCCTTGTGTTCGCCCGTTCCCTCACTCCGGGAGATCTCGCGGACAAGAGAGCCTGGTCTCGCGCGCGCGTCACTGTCCTGCTTCCGACGAGAAGAAGTATACTCAGGTGTTACATATTACACGTCGTCGTCCTCGTTGGCGGGTCCTGATGCGATGCGATGAGGCGCGCCTGAGGGAATCCGCTTCTGCCGACCGTTTCCTGATTATCACATTATTTATCGACGTATCAGTTTACCATTTCTTACCCTTCGAATTAGAGATTTAGTTTCCCTCAGCGTCACCAGATGGCGCCACTCTGCGGAAAATACGGCGACGCGCAAATCCAATTTGACAGTTCGTCAGCTGATCCGAACCGAAGCACGTGTACGAGCGAGTGTGAGTGAGTGTGTGGTAATTAAACACAGATTGATTCGAAATCAAATTTCTCGGCTAATTTCTCGTATAATCTAAAATCTAAGCACTGTGGAGAGGTTTGATTTAATATGTTTTAATTTTACAAAATATAATTAATATTAAAAATGTAAACGCTGAAAGAGGGAACATTTTTTCAAAAATTTTTGTCAGAGATTTCTTTTGAAGATTTGGCTTCGAAAATTTGTCGAAAAATTTGGCATTACATTGTCCGACGACAGTATCGAGTCACTTTGTATGCGTATCTTCTTTCAGCGACTGTCGTTTATCAACGTTATATCCGGTAGACGCGCGGTGGAAGCCTTCAAAATGCCGTGAATGTTTAACAGCATCAGACCACATAATAGATGTATCGCCGTTACGTGCTTCAAACATATTTCCGCTTATCGTCGGTTTTAAAGCGTGTTCGTATCGTATACCAATAACGTTGATGCTTGACGGTTTTAAAATTAGAAAATATGAGTAAACTGTCGATAACGGGATTGTCTGCGAAAACATTCATATCGATTCTTATGTAACGCAAAATAACAAGATTATTTAACAACAACAATGATCGATGCATTAGTAATTCCTGTATATTTATATATTATATTAAGTTGATTAATGTGAGAGGTAAGGAATCTATATAAAGAAAGGCTGATCGATAATTTAACAATATCTCATATATTATATTAAGGAGATGAAAATAAAAGAAGGACGAAGAATATTTCTGAAGAGATAACGTTATCATATTTTGTTTAAAATTACGCTAAGTTGATAAATCAATGAAAATTAAAGATTTAACAATCGTGAAATCACAGGACAAGTTTGAGAGAGAAATAGTTCGATGTATAGGATAAAAATTTATCAAGCACAATACAAATTATTACATAATTTATATTATAGTTAAAACTATTCGTCGAGTTATATTATTACAAAATTATTTTCTGTTCGAGCTAGTCGCTCGATATCACGAAATGCCGGGCATATTTCGGGCATATATCGAGTTCTACATAGTTTACCTGGCAAAATATCTATTGTCAATTGGATATTTTTTTTTGTTAAACCACGAGTTGAACGAGCCTTGCCCTCTCAACCATAATTAGAATGCATTTTATCAGGAAATAAATTGAAAAGTTAACGAATCGTATCACGAAGGCGAACATCATCGGTGGAAAATTGCGATAGACCTTTTAGAAACTCGCTGTGCGATAATGTAAGAGTAAACATGCCCTTCACTTACTCCTATAAGACGAAGCAGTGACTTTCCTAGGCGATACGTTTTCCCTACGACCCTGAATTATTAATATAAACGCTAGTACACAGATTATATAAAGGTATACACAGTAACTGACGTGCAGACACTCCGTTTACTTTAATCGTGGCGTAAATTATCTCGAGTAACGCGTATCTCTGTTACATGCAAAACAGCTAAACTTGTTTAATTATCCCCAAAAGTAATAAGGATTCTCTCTAATTTAAAGTTTTCGTTTAAATTTTAATGACTTATTGCAATCTCCAGACATTAAAATGTAATAAAAAAAATACATTTTTAATATAACATCTCTTGCAACATACATATTTCCGTATTTTAATAATTGTACATTGTTTAAATATATAACTCTGTACTTGCATATTGAATTATAAATTTTACATATTTTTGCTCGCGTTTGCCTTTTTGTAATTCTAACTTTACGTAAAATATTCTAAAGATAAAACTAAACTTTTGCGTCGCGTAAAGATAAATATAATTAAAATAACATTTGATGCCAAATGATAATTAAGAAAATTTTCCCAATTTAAAAAAATGTACCACATCTTATTTTTTCATTTCCTTCGGTCCTTTGTTTGTCCCTTTATTAATTTTGCGTGATCAAACTTACTTGCTGTTATACATTAATCGCCACTATTGTTAAAATGATAATAAATATATTTGAATTGTCTCCTAAAATTGAAGGAGTTAATAAAACTCGACACGGTTTTGGCTCTTCTTCGTACACGACTGTATACATATATACTTAATAACGCTTATCCCGCCGGGCCCGTGCACGAGATTTCCACTTCTTAGACGCGGATCTTTAACCCCTTCTCTCCCTGTCTCTCTTTTGGATTTGGGAGGGAGGGATCCTGTAGTTATTACCAAGACTTGAGGGGGGTTGATCGATAACCTATTTTTCCACGATTGGCGTGGCGCCAGAATTCCTGGCGAGTGGCTGCTGACTCTTTGACATCGCAAACAGTGTAATCCCCGTTCTCGGGATAGGTCACGAATGTTTCCAAATCCCGACAAGGTTTCACGTGGCATCCAAGTCAACTTAAAACCAACGACAGCGCGAGATCTTGATGACCACTGTGATGACCTTCCGCATCTGGAACCGCGTAATATATTTTAATCATTTAACAGACAGAAAAATAAGTATAACAGTGAACATTGATAACATTCTGCCTAAATTTACTTTTATATTATTCTTTTAAAAAGTTATATTTAAAATTTTTTTTAATACAATTTACGAATTTATTTTTTTACATTTGTGCCGAAAGGGAGCAAGCGTATTTAACGCTTAATGAGTTTTTGTGTACTATAGCGAGAGTTGTAGTCTATATGTAACATATGTATATATAAATTCTGACGTCACTATATTCAAAATATTTTTGCACTTTTTTAATTTATTTCTAACATTATCTAATTGATATCTCTTGCGTTGTATTATCGCTTTTAATAATCGCATTAATTTATCAAATGTTTATTACTTACATTTATATGACATTCCTTATATTAGATGCAAGCCTTTTTGTGAATGTTTCCTAAGAAAAATTTGAGAACAATTTTAAAAATGTTATACAAAAGATAATTGCAATGTTTTAAATATTTATTAGTAATAAAATAACAATACAACAATGAAATGAATGTAAAATAAGATATACATTGTTGTAATAATCTCGTTTTTTCTGTAATTTCTACAAAAATAGTTCAGTATTCGATGAAAAATATGTTTAATGCGGAAAAGAGTTTTATCGCTTAATATCTTTATTTGAAAAGATAACTCTACGTTTAACGATTTTTGTCTAAAATAAGAATTTCAAGAAAATAAGTTGTTATTAATAAAAATTTAATTTTTGCCGTGTAAAACAAAAGTATACCTACTAATGTTGTAAACATTAATAAATTAAAGCATATACATACATGTATGCAGAGTGTAACATCTAACAACTATGCAAATATTTTGATGAATATGTTCCAGATAAGCCAAAGAATGGCAAAAATAAGCACAGTTTTAAATATTTGGTGTGTCCAGTAAAGCCTGAAATTCATAATTTTATTTTTAGAGAAATTTAATCTTTATATTTAAAATTAGATGATTAAAAAAATTTACCTGTTATAATTGATACGACTGATTTCCAAAGTACTGTCATCTTTTTTTAATAGATAAAGACGTATGCCTTTATGATAATCAATGAGATATTTTGCCCAGTCAAGTTCCTTATGTTGAATGGATATATTTGCTGATCCTCTTTATTTAAGTTGCTCCACAACATTTGAACGTTATTATCGCTGAAATTCCATTTATTTGTGCAAAAATGTGCTATTGCTTTAGAAATTTTGTGAATTTTGCTATACAATTTCCACATCCTGAAATATATATATAAAGTTATTATGACTCTCTCCTTGCGTTTTATATAAAAGTCATTTCATTCAGTTTTGAGATAAACTATTAGATATGTGTAATCAAATAATCGATATTCGATTTCATGTTTCTACAATACCTCGGACGGCGGCCCACACATATCCTCATGCCATCCACAAGAAAGGCCGGAAGCAAATGACACAGCCAAATGCAAATTTTATATGGTATCTTTTGTGGTATTAAAAAATAAATGGTAACCATATGGAATCTTTTAAAGGATATATTTGATTTCTGTAAAGCATCTGAGTGATGTATTCTTTCCAAGTCGGTGCATTAACCGACACATAATTGTAAATCAACGTATCATTGCCTTTCCTATAAAAATTAAAACATGTTTCTTAAAAACCGTCACCACCAATCAGAAGCCACGCAAATTTCTATGTTGCTATTTATTACATATTAATTCTGAATTTAATTGCATTTTTAATGATAGATGTAGATTTTTAGACAGAGATGCAAAAAAAATATATAACACATATATGTAGCAAGAATAAAAATTCAACAATAATGATAGATGCGTGATTCTTTTATGAAATATAATAGATTTTTTTAACCCAGCAAAATAAAACAGATAACTACAAAAAAAGAACAATATTGTAAAAATATAAATAATTTAGAATTAATTAGTAATAATTTAGTAGATATAGTGAGATAGAAAATAAAGTAAAGTAAATTAAGTTTTAATTATAAAGAAATAAATTAAATGAATTCCATAAGTATTTAGATGTAATAATTTAAGGTATTTAACATTGTATATATTTAAATTGCTATATAATAGCACTAATTCTAATTCAGATAAAAAGTTTTACTTCTTAAATATTACTATATATATATATAATTTAGAATTAATAGTAATAATTTGTAGATATAGTTTTGCATAGAAAATAAAGTAAAAGTTAAATTAAGTTTTACATTAAAGGAATAAATTAAATGAATTTCATAAGTATTTAGATTGTAATAATTTAAGGTATTAAATTGTATATATTTTAAATTGCTATATAATAGCACTATTTTAATTCAGATAAAAAACTTTTACTTCTTAAATATACTACAATCTATATATATAAGCACCGTCCGTCTGTCTGTCTGTCTGTACCCGAACTACTTTCCGCATTTGTGGACCGATTGTCTCGAAATTGGTACCAAATGTGCAAATTTTTCGGGGGTGGCTGCTGTGGGTTTTTTTTTTTAATTTTTTTTATTTTTATTTTTTTTCCTCAGAGGAGGGTATGTTTTTGCAAAAAAATTTTTTTTTGAATATTTCTGAACACATGGTATCAAAATGTTGCAAAATTTTTGGAGATAACGACGATGCGTTTTTTCAAGTGTAACACTTCCACCCACGCATCCACCCACGCATTTACCCACATGCATGCGCATTTATGGACCAATTTTCACGAAATTAGTACCAAATGTTGCAAATTTTTCTGAGGAAACTGCTGTGTGGGTTTTTTAAGTTTACGCCTCCACCACGCACCCACCCGCGCAATCGCATACTATGAACCGATTTTTTTTTAATCGGTACCAAATTGTTGCAAATTTTTTGAAGATGGAGACGATGCGGTTTTTTCAAGTGTTACACAAAACCTCCACCCACCGCACCCACCCACGCGCATGCGCATTTATGGACCAATTTTCACGAAATTGGTACAAAAATGTTGCAAATTTTTCTGAGAGAGCTGCTGTGGGGGTTTTTTTAGTTTACGCCCCCCCACGCATCCACCCACGCATCACATATTTATGAACGGATTTTTGTAAAATTGGTACCAAAATGTTGCAAATTTTTTGGAGATGGCGGCGATGTGCGTTTTTCAAGTGTTACACCTCCACCCACGCATTCACCCACACGCATGCGCATTTATGGACCAATTTTCACGAAATTGGTACAAAAATGTTGCAAATTTTTCTGAGAAAGCTGCTGTGTGGTTCTTTTAAGTTTTATCCCACCCATGCATCCACCCACGCATTCAAACATTTATTCACAGACTTTTTCGAAATTTGTACTCAAATTTTGTCCGGGATGGCTACTATATGATTTTAACAAATTTTTATCACTTTATTTATCCACCCACGCACCCACCCACGTATCCACGCACCCATGTGCATACGCATTTATTGACTTGGTCACACCAAGAAGTAATTTTAAAAAATTGTGTACGTGTTTGTGATTATGTGTGCAATTCGTAGATTTAATTACAAATGATTTTGGAACTGCCATTTAAGTTTAAACAAAGACAGTTTCCTATTCGAGTGTCATTTGCTATGACAATAATAAATCACAAGGACAAAGTTTAGAAAAAATTGGAATTTATTTGCCACATCCTGTATTTGCTCATGATCAACTTATGTGGCATTTTCTAGAGCAACAAAAAGAGAAAGTGTAAAAATTAAAATTGATGAATGTAGCAATCAAGGACATTTATTGAAGAAGTGAAAAATGTTTTACAAAAAATGTAATATACAGGGAAAATTTTGTAATTGAAGAATTATGACATTGTATGAGAGCTAATAATAGGGGTTAGCGGTGGGTACATTAGAAATAAAAAAAATTGAGTAAAATGTAAAAAAGGATATAATAATTAAGTAATAAAAAAAATATTTAAAGTATATATTAACTAAAATAATGTTTTATATTTAAAAAATATGAAATTGTGTAGAAATTAAATAAACAGAAAATAAAAATAAAATATATAATAAATATTTAAATATATGCAAAACGGCGGTGTAAAATAAAATATCTGGGAGAAAGAAATAGATAACATAGTAGTCATCCAAAAAAGTTTAAACATTTATTTTGATATAAATTTCGTGAAAGTCGGACAACAAATGTGGAAGTATAACGTATAAGACGGGCAACAAGAGCCAAATCGCGGATGACAATGCGTTATCCTAACGAAACTAAATAATTTTTCGTTAGAATTAAATACCGGTGCACAAGGCACCAAATTTTTACTTGGACACGGCCAAGATTTTAAATATGAAATAATCTCATATTTTGAGATTTAATTTCATTCCCGATTCAGCGATTTTCGGATCTATATTTTTCTCTTGCATTCATTTATTTATTTTCCGTAGGGGGGTTAAAGGGGTATTGAAATTAATCTCAAAATATTAGATTATTTCATATTTAAAATCTTGGCCGTGTCCAAGTAAAAATTTGGTGCCTTGTGCACCGGTATTTAATTCTAACGAAAATTATTTAGTTTCGTTAGGATAACGCATTGTCATCCGCTATTTCTTGTTGCCCGTCTTATACGTTAAATTTATATTTATATTACAGAGCCTTGTTAAAACTCTTATAAATGTGGAAGTAGTTCGCGGTAATACAAAAAAAGAATTAATTTTTGTGTTAAAACGGATTTAATATAGGCTATATGAGGACCGCGCGAAGCGCGGTCCGAATAGAAAGGCTTTGAGGACCGCGCAAAGCGCGGTCCGAAAAGCTATTATATATATATGTAGTAATATTTAAGAAGTAAAAGTTTTTTATCTGAATTAAAATTAGTGCTCTAACAAAGATTATTATCGCTTGTACTGAAAATTTAAAATTAGAACTACAATAATATAAGAGATAACAAATTAGTTGAGATTATTGAAAAATGTATAGTACAAGGAAGTTTAATGTATATATGTATACACGTGTACATAAAAAACAAAGCAGATTTTAGCGTTAGAATTCGCACAATGCATAAAACTCATGTGCATCATTGTTTTAAACGATTGTCATTCTCAATTTTAGTGTGCGGTTAGTAAACTGCGCGCAATATTTCTAGTCGATTTATATTCTAGATAAACAGAACGCTGTTTTGAATATAGGGAAAAATTTGAAGGGTATTGCATGACTAATTACGAGACATGTCGATCAATATGTTGAGAATAATATTTAGAAAACCTAATTCTTGTCATCGATTTTGAACAGAAAGATTTTGTACAGCTTAATTAAAGACATTCTAAAGAAATAACGTTGCTTAATTAATACATTTATTATTTAAATTATATACACATAAACATATGCATGTATGTCACGGATGCCCAACTGGTTTCTTTCAAGCGCCTGATTACAAATTTTGATTATTGCCAGCGGATCAGATTAATAAATTAAACCTAACGGTAAAAAAAAAGGAGAAAATCGATAATTTTAAGGCCATAGAAAAATCATAGAATTTTAGCTTATTGCGAGACGGGTTTTAGACGGGCTTGATTTAGCAGTAATTATAAAAAATATTTTATGTACTACCACAAGGTATTTTATTTAATTAATATTTTTAAATTTTAATATTTTAGAATATGCTCGTAGACCGAACGTTTGGCATCCATGATGTATGCATTTGATTTTCTATAATAATTCATGTTTATCACGCTTTTTATATATATTTCATATATATAAAATAAACCGTTGTCACGTACCGACAAATTTTCATCGCTCTCGGTTAGACTTATCTTAACTCAAACTAACATCCGATACGCGGGATCGCTAGAATTTGCTTATCGTCACGTATTGACAATTTTCATCGTTCTCAGATCCTAAACTAACATCCGATATGCAGGATCGCCAGAGTTGTTTATAAACCTTATAAACAAACCTTATAAACAAAATCTTATAAACAAACCGAGATAAGGGCCTCCCTCCTTCAAAATTCATAGATGGAGGTGGTAAAATTTCGAGTATAAATAGGGCTAAATAAACGCTGTGCATCGCAGTTGAAATCTTAACGAAACCTTTGTCGTAAC